GACAGAGTGCCATAAATTGGAAGACAGCAAATGTCCCTATCTTCAAAAAAGGGGAAGAAAAGAGGATTCAGCAATCTTCTTCAGTTGGATATCAACAGTTGGGAAGATTCTACAGCAGATCATAAATTCATGGATCTGTAAGCACCCTGAAAATAATGTAGTGATTATCCAAAAGCAGCATGGATACATTTTGTCATAACTTTTTGATTGAATAGCTTCCTCAGCATAGTGTAGGAAGGCTGCGGACACATCTTGATTTCATCTAACAAAGCACTATGACACTCCCATTACTAAGCAGGTTAAGTATGAGCTAGATAGTACTACAATTAAGGGGTGACAAAGCTGGATTAATAATTGTACTGAAAGAATAATAAACAAACTGGATGGTGATATAGGTAGTCCTTGCTTAATGACCATAATAAGGACTGGAAAATTCATTATTAAGTGGGGTGGTTGTTAAGTGAGTCACGCCCAATTTTATGACCTTTTTGCAGCAGTCATTAAGTGAATCATGTGGTTGTTAAGTGAATGATGCAGTTCCCCATTTATTTTGCTTGCCAGAAGCTGACTGGGAAGGTCGCAAATGGTGATCGTGTGACCCCGGGATGCTGCAACCGTCATGTGAGCTGGTTGCCGGGCACTCAGATCGTGATCACATGTTCACGGGGGAGCTGCAATGGTTGTAAGTGCAAGGACCGGTTTCAAGTCCCTTTGTTCAGCACCATTGTAACACTAAAGGTCACTAAGTGAATGGTTGTTAAGTGAGGACTACCTGTATTGGATGGAGTATCATGAGGTTCAGTCCAGTGTCCTGTATTGAAAAAAATTATTTTTGATTTGGATGATGAAGTAGAAGTATTGCTTGTCAAACTGGCAGATGACACAATATTGGGTGAATAGCTATTATCCTTGCAGACAGAAATAAAATTCAAAACAATCTTGATTAGTGAGAGAAATGGGCTGAAAATATCACTATAAAATACAACAGTGAAATGCACAGTTGCGCTCTTAGGAAACAAAAATCTAATGTGAAATACAGAATATGGGATATTTGGGTTGGCAATAATACTTGTGAAAAAGATCTTGGAATAGTAATTGATTTCACACTGAATATGTGTCAGCAGTGATGTGGCTGCAAAACAAGCGAAGACAATTTTAGACTATTAACTACAGTTTCTAAAAGATGGGTAGTAATTATTCCATTTTATTCTGTACTGTTCATATCCTATCTTGAACACTAGGTTCTGTTCTGGGCATTACAATTTAAGAATTCAGAAAAGTTATAATAGGACAAAAAGAGAAGGACAGCAAGGATGAGCAAGGGATTAGAAACAAGTTTTATGAAGAGAGATGAAAGGATCTGAAAAGTGTTTTAGTCTTGAGAAAACTGAGACAGGATATGACAACATTCTTCAAAAATGTCACCTTGAAAAACTTAAAAATCTGCTATCTTCTCAGAGGGCAGGAATCATAATAATAGATGAATGCTATAAAAAGGTAGATTCTACTTAATATTAGCAAAAGCTCCCAGAAAGCAAGAACATTTTAACAATAGAACCAATTACTCAGGAAGTGCTAATTACCAGGAGAGATAGATAGAGATGGTGTCTGTGAGTCTGGAGGAGGGGTAAAAAAAGTAAACATGATGATGACAGTGGTGCAATTGAAGCCCTAGTTCTTTGTATGTCTGTTGATGCACGAACAAAAAGGACAGGATTGTGCTACCACTATAACCACCATCTTGACTTTTTTTATCTCACGCCATGGACACCACTGGGTGGTTCTCCCTTCGCTGGATGTATTTAAGTTGACATACTTTAGTTAGGACGCTTGCATGGAGCAGGAGGTGATACCTAACTGTTCCTTCCATCTCTATAATTCTGAGGCACACTTCCCATACCACCATTGGGGATGCTGTGGAAGCTGTGAGCTGGTATCTGAAGCCTATCAGGAATGAATAACAAGAAACAACCTCAGATTAACTGTACCAAGTTGAAATGCTGTTTCTTCATAAGCATCTGGTAACTCAGGACCAATAGCTCTAGTGGATGCTCTTGATGAAACTGTAGTCTCCTTGAAGAAATTAGTCTGTGATCAAGTGGTCCTCCTGGACTTGCAGCACTTGCTGGAGCACAGAGAAGCCATGCCCAGAGAGACTTTTGCCCAGATTTCATTTCATTGTATTTCATTTCATTGTATTTCATTTCATTGTATTTCATTTCATTGTATTTCTTTTTTCTTTTCTTTTCTTTTCTTTTCTTTTCTTTTCTTTTCTTTTCTTTTCTTTTCTTTTCATTCATTCATTCATTCATTCATTCATTCATTCATTCATTCATTCATCAAATTGGTCACCGCCCATCTGGTTGAAAAGTGATTCTAGCTTAGTTATAACCCTAACTGGACCAGGAAGCCCTTGGGAGAATTACTTGTGCCCTGATGACCATGTGACTGGACTACTACAGCACACTTTACATAGAGCTGCTTTGAAGATGATTTGGAACCTGCAACTGGTGTAGAATGAGGGAGCTAGGATGGTAGCAGGGAAAACCTGCTGTTACAGAAGTTTGGCCAGTAGACTACCAGTAGACTTCCAGGCTCAATTACCTATAAAGGATTATATGGCATTACACAGGGCTATATTAGGAAAGGCTTTGCCAAATATGGTTCTGCCCATCTAGAGAGGGGTTACTAAGAAGGAGTTGCAGATAGTGTGGAATCAAGACCTCTGTGTAATAGCCCGCATACTTGCTTCCAGATATATGATTAACCCTGAGCATCTTCTCCTTCCAGAAGACCCTGAAAGCTATTTTATTTCAACAGGCTTTGGGCCCATAATATGACTGTGGGCAACCATAAAACTGACTTAGTTTTATGATCATGGGTATTTTATTGGGGATGGAAATATATTCTTGGGGGGGGGAAGGGGTATTTTGTTGTGCATTGCTGAGAGTCTTGTGATTGAAATGGTATATAAAAATTGTAAAACTAATTTTTAAAAATTACAATTTACTATATGCAGTACTCTGAATCACATATACCAGCTCATATACAGAGTTGTGCCTGGAAGCCTGCTGCAACTAATGTTGACCTTTCACACTGCTAAAGCTAAAACCAGAAATCTTGTGTACTTTTCAGGAAAGCAGTCACACTAAAAGCCAAATTAAACATCATAGCAAAAAGTTGTGCTGCGTGCTGATTTAGGCCTTTACAGAACAGGTAGAGTCTGGTTGCTGGATTGTTTTCTTGGGAATCTCACAGAAACTGTATGATATCAATGAGAAGGTTTGGAACGCTGCTACTTCCCAAAGACACGATCAGGTGATGGCCAGGTAACAATTGATTTCAGGGTACAGAGAAGGATCCAGGTGATGTCATATCCTCCAATTGCCTACATTCTCTCTACTTTCTCAGCCCATGGAAAAGGAAAAGGAACGTATTAATAGGGATAAGCGTTATAAGGAGAGGTCCTAGCTGTGCACTGCTTAATTATCTATGCACAGAGAATGCATTCCTAAAATTGATGTAACAATCAATTTCTTTCCACCAGGGATCCAGGGAACTGTAGTTCAATGGGATGAATAGGATCTCTGTTCTCAGCATCTCACCAAACTACAATTGCTCAGGTACTCTAAAGAAAATCTTGCTAGTTAATGAGTATGAAGCCAGCATTAGTTTGAAGGTTGATGTACCTAACCATAGAAGTTTTTAACCAAAAGCTTCACTCAAGTCTGTAATGCAATTGTAAACTATGCCTTGACTAAATTATACCTTTGATTTTCAAAATTTTTTTTGTCTTAATCACAGTTATATTATGCAAAAGTAGCAGAAAAGCTCAAAGATATTTTGCAGCACAACCTATAACGTCACTCAAAAGCTAGTCTTAGGCTTATTACCAAGTTATTGTACCTAACATTTCAAGATATTGGTCAGTAATTAATGTAAATCTCTACCTTAATGAATGTATTTTTAAAATCATTGGGCTATTTAAATTGGTGTGGGGGGAGACTGGTTTCATGCAATGTGCTTAACCATGATTTACTGAATAAGCAACAACTGATTGGGTTTGTTCAATACACTACCCCACAGACTATGGTTCAGAAATGTAAACTTCTAAGGGTTGAGTTTGCACATCACAGTAAGGTAAAACCAAATAAGTGTGTGACCAAATAACCAAATGATTTAGTGTGATTAAAGGATTCTGTTGTTGAAAATTCATATTCAGAAGCCTTAGGCCTTCTAAAATTATGATTTGCAGGAATCATTGGAGAGAGGCATGAATGTGGCTTCAGTCTGTAGTAGGGACATGAGCTGAGTTCCACTCCCTATAGACTGAGGACCATCTGCTACCATCAGCAATTAATGGCGGTCATCCCAAATGATGCCTGACCTAACAATCTCACGGCGGCCCATGAAAACTAACAAAACCCTTGCAAAACAGGCCTCTTAAATTTTAAGGGGCATCTGTTCCACACAGACTAGTGCATATGCATATCTGCCCCCTCAAACTGGCCAGTGGTCTTCTCCTTTCTGGTCCCAATACTTACTGGTTTTCCGTCCCCCACCAGATACACACTTTAGGACTCTGCCTCTGAGGCTTCTGGAAGACCTAGCTTTATTTGGCCTCTGAGCAGAAAGATTTTTGGAGAGCCCTCAGTTCCATCACTTTCTCCTTGGGAGGTGCAGAGAAGCTGCATCATTCCAGTCCCAGGTAAGGAGCCCACTCGGAGGCCCCCTGGCCAAGCCAGAGGACAGGCCTCTTCTGCGGGTGGCTGCAGCTGCGCCAGCGTTTCTCCACCCCTCGAAGCTTCCTGCCCCCACCCCCACAACACCTCTTCGCTTCTCCTCCAGAAACCGCACAGACCACCAGGCTCAGCGAAGTCGCCGCCTCCCCCGTTATCAGCCCCCGTCGCATCACGGTCGATGCGGCAGCGGGGACGGGGCGCAGCAGCTGGGAGGCAGACCCCCAACCCACCCCCGAAACCCCGCAGCCAGCAACCTACCGCCTGCCTTTCCCTTCATGGCGTTAAGGGACCAGGATGCTTATTTGGCGGTGTCTTCGCGGGGAGAGTATTTGGATTTTTTTTTTAAGCTGTCCTTCCGAGACGTCGGCGACCAGAGAGGGCGTGACCCGCGGGGCGGGGGAGGAAGACGCCGCGCCCGGCAGCCAGGGGGGCGAGGAGGGCGAACTGATAGCAGGTCTCTCCTTGCTGGCTGGCCGCGCCCTTGCAGTCGCCAGGCAACCGCTGCTCCCCGCGAGCATCCCCCGG